TCTATGTGCAGCGATGTGTTTCTGTGGAGGTCAGAGGTCAGACTGTTGACAGCGTGTGTGCTCCTGTCGTGCTGTTACAGATGAACCTGGCTCTGGTCCACGACAGAGAGCTCATTAAGACGTTCTGGGAGAGGAGGATCGAGACTCAGACTCAGCAAGCTGAGAGCGAGGAGCAGAGGATGAGCCAGAGCGCACTCAAAAAGTGAGCGACGTCCTTCATTTGTAATGTCACTGATCTTCAGTCTAAACGGTTTCCTGTTCACAGACTTTCAGGTTCGTTCCACTCTCATTTTATTCGTCTCTGTGTGATTCGTGATTATTCGGTGGTCTGGTTACCCGTCAGCCCGTCCTTTGTTCTCTGGGTGTAACTGGGTTTGATGGGACAGCTGGCGCTCCCCGCCCACTGAATGCTCTGCTGTCCTCAGACACACCCAGATCACTGACTCTTGGTAAACGTTGTTTGTAATTCACACACTGCGTCTCTCTGCAGCTTTTCACTCGTGGAGGCTTAAATTACAAACGCTTTCTTTCATCTGTCGAGGTCTTTGAGCCAGACGCCCAAACTGAGCATGAATTCATTCGGTGAAGCCATGTGACCTTGTGGCAAATCTAAAAACAGATCGTCTCATTACAAACGGCCTCGTCTCTCAGCGAGCTGCAGGACATACCGACACAAACACACGAGCCTGTAACACCGTCTGGCTGCTGAAGGTGTCAGAGACGATGAGCACTAATGAGCGGAAACATGACCTCGCCTCACCGGGCTCTGAAGGAAGCAAAGGAAACAGGACGATGGCAGCTGGAGGCTGTCCTGGGTCTGCCCGGTGTCCTCCTGATCAGTCCGTCGTTTAATCAACAAAGTGTGAGACGGTGAGGGGCCAGAAAGCAAAATCCTCCATCAAACAAGAATCAGCACTAACATGCTGCAGCAGTCCACAGCCTCCTGCCCCCGTCCTGCTGCTCTTTTGATTTATCTCATATCCTCTTATTAAACTTGACCTCCTGATGTTACATCAGCTATTAGCCCTATCCGCCTTAACCCCTCTCACTCATCTTAACCTCAGTTCATCTCACCTAATCCCTCTGCTATCCATTACCCTGTACCCTAATCCCCCACCTATCACTACCATGTATCTCCTAATCCTTCGGCTATCTGTTACCATGCGCCCCCCGACTCCACAGCTATCTGGCTCCCCGCTGCCTCTAACCCCGACTCTAGTCCCCGCTAATTGTGTACGTTATGTGTGATCCGAGCAGGGCTGGAAAAATGTGCTGCGAAGCACCGAGGTGATAATCTCGGAGCGATGAGTGATGGAGGCCGGCCGCGAGCGCAGACACAGCAGCTCAATTTAGAAGATATTCTGATATTAATACTCATCTAACGGATGCTTCGGTCTGTGCGTCTGCGTCGCTGGAGCCAAAACGAATTTTATTTCATGAAAGGACGTCGACGTGAAGCTCAGCTTTTCTCAATGAGCTGCAGCGAGTCCATCAGTGAGGATCTGTGGAGGCTCTGCTGATGTGTCCTGATATCAGTGTGAGCTCCACAGCTCTTCATCTGGACACCACGGAGCATAAAAAATACACATGAGTGCATAATTACAAGAGCTAAACTTGTCTATAATTAAATCAAGTTATATTATTCCTCCACACTCGTTTAATACATTCATTTATTTTTAAAACATCTGCATTTAAAAGAACTGAAAGAAAACTTCAGATTAAACACAGTGAGCCATGAACCCGTGACATCATCACTTTTCATCATCATTTAAAACATCTGCATTTAAAAAACATTCATTCATGAAAACTGAAAGAAAACTTGGACCCGTGACATCATCACACCTCCTCCGTGGCTTCAGGAGCTCAGATATAAGGCGGCACCTCTTTAGACGGTGCTCCTCCGCCCCTCGCCTGCAGCTCAAACACCAAACGAGTCAAACTAAATTTAAAGTTCAGGTAGAAGCTGAGGAGTCGAAGCGTTAGCAGGAGGAGAGGCTGTAGCAGAGTAACAGTAAAACACACCGAGGTCATCGCAGGCGTGGATGTGCTGGACTAACACAGGAGAGCTCTGATGGAGGCACCTGAGGGTGGAGTGTTTGCCCAAGGACACTTCAACATGCAGCTCGAGGATCCAGGGACTGAACCACAAACCCTGTGGTTAGTAGACCCACTGCAGTGGGAGCAGAAGCTGCGGAAATGGGAGGAGTTACAGACGCCGTGGTAGTGTTTATGTCACCTCAAGGTGCTTTATATTGTACAGTAGATCCTACAATAATACATACAGAGAAAAACCCAACAATCATATGACCCCCTATGAGCAGCACTTTGGCGACAGTGGGAAGGAAAAACTCCCTTTTAACAGGAAGAAACCTCCAGCAGAACCAGGCTCAGGGAGGGGCGGGGCCATCTGCTGTGATTGGTTGGGGTGAGAGAAGGAAGACAGGATAAAGACATGCTGTCTTTATATGCTGACATAACACATAGTGAGTGAGAAAGGTGACTGGAAAGGAAAAGCTCAATGCATCATGGGAATCAGAGCAGAGGGTGTAGCAGAGGAGCCTGAATGGCCACAGTCACAGCAGCAGATGTTGTAGAAGAAGAAGCTCATCAACAGCACAGGAAGCGGCTGCAGTCATATTGATTATATTTAGCAGAGGAGGAGAAAATGCTGAACGTGACTGTCTGGCTTCTCTAAATCATTTCGTTTTGTTCCTGATCAGCTGACAGCTTCATCCTGCAGGTCCCAGACCTTCGCCTGGCTGATTATAACTTAGCTGCACCTCTGGACCGCCTCCTGCTCCGCTGCGTCACACTGGTGATTCAGGACCCACAACTTTGAGGTTCGTGGTGATCTCAGACAGAAGCACATGCAAAGAGGTGCACCAGGAGACGACCTGAAGAGGACATCTGCCAATCACAGTGAGACGCTCAGTGATGTCATTGTGGTGCAGTACTGAGCCTGGAGCAACGACCCCACATGTTTTTGGTGAAAATGTGTGAAACTGGTTCTGGATGAGTCGCTGGCACTTCTGTGGATCAGAGACATCATAGCGGCGGCGCTCAGCACGCTGAAAGGAGAAACGCTAACCTAAACCAGTGAGCCGGGCTGGACTTCAGGAACACGTTTGTGTCAGATGAAGGTCTTAACGCGCTGGTCCTGGTGCAGAGGAGCGAGATGCCTACCTGTCCGTCTGTCTGCCTCGGCTGACATCAGGAAGATTATCAGGACAAATGGAATAATTCGAAAAACTTGACAGGAAGGCGACAAAGAGCTGGTGAGGACAGCTGATGGCGAGGGTTGGGTTACACTCAAACATGTGACGCCTCACAGACGAACGTCTGTTATTTCTTTGCCTTTCTGTCCTGGAGTCACTTCCTGCCTGCCGCACGTTTGTGCGTCTGTGGTTGTGAAGCCTTTCAGTGACATAACGTACACCCCGACCCCTCAAACAGCCTCTGTCCTCAGGTCTGTCCCAAAGGAAGGACCAGAGAAACGTTTGGACCGGCAGGCTGGCCACTTGTGATGATTTGACCTCTCCACCATCTTTGAGGAGAAACGCCTTCTTCCTACAGACAGCAGCCAATAACATCCGGCTCAGTTTCTTTGGCACAGAGCAGTGTTCCTGTAGTTTCTGTCAATAAAGATGAAAACTGCAGCACAGAGAATGAAAACAGATGCGGAACAAAACCTGAGCAGAAATACTGTTTGAACTTGTTTAGATGAAACCTTCATTCAGGTGAAATCGTGTCTGTGAACACTGTGAGTGACGTCACTGTACTGAGACTGAAGGATTTGTCTGTGACGTGCAGCCAAACAGAAGAAGAAGAAAGCAGCACGAGGTGTTCGAGCCTCACAGAGACAGGCGAGCACGCTCGTGGGTGTTGGTGAAATAAAAGTGCTGATACGACAGCGATAACGCCGCAGCTGTCACCAGATCTGCTGCAGACTCAGAGCTCATTAAGCTCTGAAGCTCTGACCTCAGCACTGCTGCACGCCACCAGGCATCGCTGTTACGATCAGATCCTCTTAAATACTGTTAATGAATGCTTCGATGTTAAATATGATGACGCTCACCCTGACACGGCAGCTTTAAGGCCTGAACCATGAGAACGAAAACAGGAAGTTGAAGCAGGTGGTTTATAAAAGGTCACAAACCTGCGTGACCTTTGTAGGTCTGCAGAACCACTGCTGAGCATGTGCAGTGTGTGTAACAGCAAGATGGGGGTGGAGTTTGACTACATGGTGTCATGTGATGCGCTGGCATGATGTAATGTAACCGTCCTTCCTGTGTGTTTCAGGCTGAGGGGGGAGTGGGTGGTCCGTCTGGAGAACCGAACCAAACACCTGAAGAACCTCAATGACAACTACATAAAGAAGATGAAGGTGGAGCCGTCAGCTGACCAGACGTGAGCCCCGATAACTCGCCGTAGAGCTGCTGAGCCAACAACCGCGTCTCCTCCTGCTGCTGTGTGAGAGAAATAAAGAGCTGGAAAATAAACTCGTCTGTGATTCATTCAGAGTTTGAACGTTTGGTTTTATTTCCTGCATCAAACACATCAGTGCATCAGACTTTCTCCCACAGCAGTGTCAGAGTGTTTCAGCGTCAGGCTGTGCTGATTCTGCAGCAGGTCACTGAGACTCACTCTGAAGCCTCTGAGCCGCCATGGCGCCATCTGCTGGACAAACAGGGGTACTGCAGGAACAAACCGCGAGGACGGGCTGAACGTTCAGTCCAGTAAAGGTGGGAACATGAAGGAGTTTGGTTCACACGCTGCACGGCCACATGCAGCGTGTGAACCAATAAATAATCTATAAGTGACCATTAGTGACAAAACCCTCAGTCCCCTCCAACACCAGCAAACAGCAGAGCTGGGTCAGTGTTTGGAACTGAAATAAAAACAACTATTAAATATTTTAAATTCACTCTTCAGTCAAGTTTTCTCACAGCAGCTTCACAAATACAAACTTTTTAAGTTTCCAGCTGTTTTTCTACAGAAGCATAAAAAAGTTAATTTTATGAATTATTCTCCGCGGAATTTAAGACTTTGGCCACCAGGGGGCGTTGTTTCTCTTTAACATATGTTTTGGAAGTCATAGTGACTTTTTCCCCACCAGTGTTTTTTTTTCTTTATTTTGGAAACTTTATTTATAAACATATATTTAAATTAATAACAATAATTTCTGCTTTTTTCTCTTTCCAGCAGTGCAGCATGCAGGGGGGGCTTTAAGGGGGCCCCAGCTGTACCACACAGCTTTAGTTATTAAATACGTTGCACATGTAGATAAT